AAAAAGGAAGTAAAATCTGAACATGAACAGATAAATTATATTTTTTCTGGCCGATAGTTAAACACGACACACTCTAAATTTAATCAACTAACGCTCAATCAGTTCTCTTCTTCTTCTAAACACGCATATTAAGAAGAGGAATGAACTAAATTTTGTTTTAAGGGATTTTTATCTGGATTGGTCGATTTGAACTATAACTGATAATCCACGATCTCGGTTGAATCAATCTCGTTATTTCGCCTTAAACTTACATTTTCAAAAGTCAGTTGTCATATTATTTAGCGAATCAGAACATGCAGACTAATACTAAAGAATGCTATTTATGATTTATTGTGAATAGAATGTTGATTGTGCAATGAAAAGAGCCAAAATTCATCATAGAGATGATAAAACTGCATCAAGTATAAGCTAGAAACGTTGTACAACACTGAAAGCCTGCGTATGTAGGATGTGGGTGTGTGTAAGTATGGGTACTCCTCAACATCTCCACCCCCACCCCCACCCACACCCACACCCACACCCACACCCTTAACAATCTCTTACTGAATTATGAGGTATGCATCAATAGATCTTAGAGAATAGATGGAATATGTTCATTGTTTCGTACACTGTAATATAGTATAAAATGAAGTGATAACTGTAAATATTAATGGTATAATTCAATCATATCACATTAACAATAGAGAGATTTATGAAAATGTGATATTTAATCTATTTTCAATGGGCATATAAAAAATTTCAATAAATCTTACTTATACCGGGCGCCATCTTTTAATATCGTCTCTGTTGAGAACGAGTAAAAGTAATTAGAGTAGAGCAGAGGTATCAGATAGGTATGTGAGAGTATATGCAGCTTATGTCAATATGCTATTACCTCGAAGAATCGTAATAAAACAGCAGTAATAAAAAATAAAATACGACTCATATACAACGGTCTTTTTTTCAAATATTGTCTCGTTTAGATATCCATACCAGTTTGTAGAGCTCGACGAGTTGATTCTCATAGCATAAAGCGTTCTTCCCCATAGGACCTTAAATTAGACAAAATCAATCAATTCTACTAGTGGAAGATCACATTCGAGACAATGAAATCTCAATATCCAAGATTAAAGGTGGCACTTTCACTTGCTTTTTGAAAAAGAAAAGGAAAGTAAAGTTATCAGATGTCCCTTCTTGATTTCTTTCGTTACGTTTGTTTTCATCAAAATAAATCAAAATAAAAACAGGCTCGATGAGAGAGAGAGAGAGAGAAAAAAGAATCAAAGAATGTAAACAGAAAAACAAATAAGGGAATATGTGAAGAAATGTGATGTACATGCTTGTAACATAAAGTTTCTACTTTTCTTTCTTTTTTAAAAGAAAATGAAAGTGCCACTCCTATCAACAAAATTATGAGCATTGTATATCCAAATTTTGATTGAATTTTCGTTTATTTTAGGCTTCCTATACAGTTCGTATCGAAATAAAAACATGTTCACTTCTCTCCTTTGAAATGGAAATAAGTTCATCAATGCCAATTATCCGGAGTGATCAATTCCCATCAGATGCTAGACAAATAGTTCGTTTAGCTCTTCCATATATATTTAGCTACGTTCTGGAACTATTGCTTATGCCAACAGTTTCTATTATTTTTATGGGATGGGTCGGTCAAGTCGAATTCAATGTGTGTGCAATAGCACGAATTTTCTATTTACTATTCGGATCTGCCGGTCATTTGGGTCTGACATTTGCCTGTGACACTCTACTAAGTCAAGCTTATGGTGGTAATAAACGTCAAATGGGTATTGTGCTTCAACGAGCTATATTGATTGCAATGTATGTTGTTATATTCTCATGGATATTTTTGATTAATATTCAATACTTAACGCGATTTATAAAAAATGATGAACAATATATTCAGTTGATAAACGAATATTTGACATTTTCAATAGTGACAGTACCATTCGAAGCATTCTCGATACTTCTTCAAAAATTCACAGTGAACCATGGCATAATATGGCCACTTTTAGTCGTAAATACAATCGGTAATATAGTTAATATAATAGCTCATTATCTTTTGCTGTACATAGTTGATCTGGGCGTTCGAGCACCTCCAATCGCTTTTAGCTGTGCTTATTTGAGTATGACTCTATCATGTATTATATATATTCGTTGGTCATCAATCGCAAAAGAAACATGGCATCCACCAACGAGAGATTGTCTCCAAGAATGGAACATGTATTTGAAACTTGGCATACCTGGTATAATAATAAATTTCATTCAATCCCTTGTTTATGGTGGTTCAGTTTTACTATCGATCTTATTTGGCACAGATGCGGTAACAGCACAAGGTGTCGTCTTTCATGTTGATTTCTTTCTCTTTCTGATTTCTCTTGCATTTGCTAATAGTTCTATTATTGTTATTGGACGATATCTTGGAGCTCGACAGTATGATAAAGCAAAACATGCTAAGAACATCGTTTATAGAACAGCATTAATTGCTATTCTTCTTATTCTTATATTTGGTTTTTCTCTTTGGTATTGGATTCCATATTTATTTCATACACCTGAATCAGCTCTAAAACAAACAAGAAATCTATTAGCTATTGTTATCGGTTTTTGTGGACTTGATTTTTATCATTTATCACAAGCAAGTGTGCTTAAAGCGTGTGGTAAACAACATTTCGATGCTTTTGTTTCATTTTTGACATATGTGATTCTGGGAGTTCCATCTGGAATTATTTTTATTGTTGTATTACATCTTGAAATGATAGGTTATTGGTCAGCTCTTCTTTTATCACTCTTGATCACGAATACTGTCTATTTTATTTATATTCGAAATATCAATTGGCAAGAACAAGCAGAAACAGCTCAACAACGTGTTTTGAGAAGTACTAATATGGATGAACAAATAATACCACTAATCGATTCCCATAGACAACAATCAGAACGATTATTTGACTTAATCAAATATAAACTACTTGTCTTTCTTTTTATTCTATCTCTGTTTATTTGTTCTGTACTTCTATCGTGGAAATTTCACAAATAAACAGAAAATTCATTAACGTATTCAAATCGTCCGAAAATTAAAATATAATCAATTTACAGTATAAATATATTGTTAGGATGTGAGTCTTTCTCGATTTTGTTCTGTTTTTCTTGAGTAAGAATTAAGAAGACTCTTCAGTTCATCATTTTGCAAGAAAGGGCACTTTTCACAACAGCGACATACGTACAAATTGAAAGTTCTAGAATAATCTCGACTAGCACGCATTTGTCCAAGATATCGTGCGAAAATACAGCTGTTTTCAAAAAAACTTGAAAATATTGTTATGTCAGTATTTTCCTATATACATATATTTTAGATTAAGATCAGTAAACATACACTAGAATAGCATATGGTTCATAAATATCAAAACGAAAAGAAGAAAGGCTTGACTATAAGCATAAACATAGTAGATAGTACGAGAGATATTAGCGTGGACGTCTGTTGTGACACAGATGACATCCTTGGAAATTTTAGAGAATCTTGGAATTCAGGGAAATACAGGATTCCAAAATTCTGCGCTTTACCCCTTGACATGAATGATGAAACCAATGATCATTTTTTTGAATATCGAGTTCCCTCAAAGTCGACTCGAAGGATGTGGGTGTGGTTCTACTATTTATCTACGACAACAGTTACACTCTCTTCAGTTTATGTAAGTTGTGAATTCTTTCATGGCGAGAGTCATGTCATTACTTACATCAGCAAACTGTTTAGCTTAAATTACTAAGCAGTTCTGTTCGATATAGTTGTGTCTATTCAGAAAGGTCGATCGAAATTCATCCATGTTTTTCATCTGCAAATCCAAGTGTAATAATGAGTATTTTGACGAAAAATATGGTAGATTATTGAATTGTCATCATTGAAACTGTTAGCTCTGTAATAGGGGATGATCTTACTGAGCTGAACTTCTCTGTATATATATAAAATATAGCTTACATATATAAATCGATATGAAGCTGTTGGATGATATATATATATATATATATTTAATCAAACAAGAAAAATATAATAATATCAAAGATGATAACGATCAGCAGTAACAACAAAAAACGAACGAAAAAACATACATATATATATAAATATATACATGTGCGTAATATCAACTAGCTCACTCACGTGAGCTGTGTTTTCCAATCGATTGCGCAACAGAACGAAAATAAATAGAGCGGAACACTGTAGATGATAACCAACGACATCTACAGGCGCTCACACCTCCCCTTCCCGGAAAGTACCAATCATAAGCCTGACATGCCCTACAAGGCAGTCAAAGTAAGAAAGAATGATTCATGAAGGGAGAGATGTGAAATAACACGATAGAAATTAACGAGAAACGAAAAACATAAACGTTCAGAAAAAAAAAAAAAGTATGAAAACAAAACAGAAAAAATTCTATTCATTGTGGTGAATCCAGTGAAAGAAATTATCGTAATTAAACATGTTGATAGGTAACGCCTGATCAGCATGCATCATTTGTGATAGATTATTAAAATGTAAATATAATTTATGATTTGATAGAATCGATAGTCTACCAAATGGAACATCATTGTGTTTCAAAAAATCCTTTACATGTTTATATGACCATGCTGAAGAAGCGTCCCGAATCAAAGTAAAGTTTCTTTGAATTTGTTTGATTTTTAAATTTCTTTTTCTATTACGAACAGAAATAGATTCACGTGAACGAGTTGAAACATTAGCATAGACATTTTGATATAGATTCATGTTATTGATATAATTAAAGATAATGTTAGCAAACTGATGACGATAGATATAATCAATATGAAGACGATCAGAACCTAACCATTCGGATGATAAATGTAAATCCAAAACATAAAATTTATGTTTCGTTGAAAGTGAAAGTAATAAGTGGTTGTAATGATCGATGTTGTCGTTTAACAATGAAATATTCGGATATCGAGTAGAGGGTTTTAAACAAGGAAGGCAAGTTGTTATTATGATGTTTCCTTGTTTTAGATGACAATAATGAGAAAAAAGAAATAGCAGAAATTGATCAATTTGTTGAATGACATCTGTTGCCGGTAAATGTCGAACAGAATTTGTTCCGACAAGAAATAAAATATTAGATGTTGTAGAAATTAAAGAAGCAAATGTGTCTGTTCGTATTAAAGAAAACAAACTTAAGTTGTGATCATATTTGTTAGACCATTGTAAACCCGAAATAGAATATGTTTTAATACAATAATGAGGTGTAATAATGGTGGGTGCTATACATTTGCCGTGACTATCTGCTATTATTAAAAATGATGGAGTGATAGTTGATGAAAATGTCATAGTGATAATATAACAATATAATGAATTGAACTATGTAATGGATGTTGAATGATGAGTAGGATGGTATGTATAGTTGAGAAATTGAAAAATGAAAGAAAAGAAGCATAAATGAATGTAAACACGAAAAAGTTTAAAATAAGCTAGGAGATGATATATAAAGGTTTGATCTCCATGAAAATTTAAGTACTATCGAATTCTTACGATACCATGATCATCCGATATTATTATACAGATTTTCAATACATTCGATTATGTCCCCCTACGGCGCCATAGTAACAACATAATTTCCATAACAGAAAGCTAATGCTATTCAAAGGACTTTTCACTTCGGTCGTAAGAATAAACATAAGTATCTATTATATCCATAACTAGAAACTATCAGTATAATAATAAACAATAAAATCATGATAGAATAGAAATGATAGGTGTTATTCCTATAAACTAATAGATGAGGAAACTGTTATGAAAATAACATTATGTTAGAATGAAAGGTGTAAAATATCATTCAAAACTGATCGGTCGTAAATCGCTTATATGTACTTGGGATCTTATGTGCGTACACTCATCTTCGACTACATACATTGGGTGATGAATTTCAACAACGATTTTCGGAATAGGAGAAAATTTCGGATCTAATTTTCCTTTCGAAACATGAACACGAGTTAAAACTTTATCTCCTAATTTTAGTTGTGGATCAAGACGATTCTTATTATAATACGCCTGATTAGCTTGTTGTTGAAATAATATATTTTCACGCGAAGCCTGATGAAATATACGCAACGTCTTTTTTAGTTGTTCAAAATAATCATTAGGCTTGGGAAAGGTAAATTCTGTAGGTTGTATATGAATAGGTAGACGAGCAGTACGACCGTATAGTAACTCATAGGGAGAAAATTTCGTGGACTTGTGTACTCCTGTATTATAAGCAAAGACAACGGCTTGCAAGTACTCATCCCAATTGTTATGTTGAGCATTTTGTAACTTTGAAATCTGAGTTACAAAAGTAGCATTAAAACGCTCTACGATACCATTTGTTTGGGGATGGTATGGAGTACTATATATATGATTGTATCCTATGAGATGTTGTAGATTCTCCATTAACTTATTTTGAAAATGTGTTCCACGATCGCTTAAGATAACTGACGGTATACCAAACTTGCAAAAGCAATCATCGAATAAGGCGCGCGCTGCAGTTTCTGCTGTGCAGTTTGGAAGTGCTAATGCTGTTATATGTCTCGTAAAATAATCTGTAATAATAAGCACATATTGATTCTCACTAGGAGTCCTAGGTAATGGTCCACAAAAATCAATGCCTATTAGAGCGAATGGTCCTTCAGGTGGTGGAATAGAACGTAAGTGACCATATCTTTTAGCACGATCTATATTAAATTGCGTGCATAAACTACAAGACTTTACGTAGCGTTGTATAGTGACTTTCATACTGGGCCACCAAAAATGAGGACGAATTTTATAGTACATACGATCTGTAGAAAAGTGAGCGCCTGTCAATGGATCATCGTGACATGCTTTCAATAGAGAATTTATCATTGATGATGGTAAATATAACGCTTTAATGATTCGATTAGAAATATTCTGAGAACTGATTAATTTGTACAGTTTATTATTTTCTAAGATAAATGAACTTTGACTCGATATAGTAGATAAATTTTTTATTATGTTCTGTATCTTAGGATCTCGAGCTTGTTCCACTTGTAACTTAGTTATATCGAAAAAATTTTGTGAAAGTGTAGATGTTAGTTTGGTTTTTCTTTTGTGTCTAGAATCTGTTGTATCTATATAATCATGATGATTATTCACGTTATTTCCATCAGAAATATGTTGTTTTGTATAATAAACTCGATTTTTACGTGGTCTTAGAGTCATGGCTGCTAAAACATTCGGATTAGTAGAAGAAACTGTTGAATCTGATGTTAAGTTCTTAGTATCATTATCAGATGTAGCTGATGATAAGATCGAACGAGATTTACTAGCTAAGCCATATTCAATATCGAATATATCATCAAATTGTTCTTTTGAGTAACGTGAAAGATAATCAGGGAGACAATTGTACTGACCGCGAATATGAACGACTTTATCGATATTATATTCTTGGATCAAGTGCGTTATTCGATTCACCCTATTATTCTTAATAGACTTTTGCATTATATAACATAAGGGACAATGATCAGTCATAATGATAATATTTCTCCCTAATACAAAAGAACGCATACGATCCAAACACTTATAGATAGCCAACGCTTCTTTCTCGATCGTACTATATTTTCTTTGACATGGTGTAATAACTTGAGAATGATAGTATAGATTACGGAGTTGCCCATTGACTTCTTGCTGTAAAACACCACCTATTCCGATATCACTAGCGTCTGTAGTTAATACTACAGGTAAATCATCTACAGGAAAATGTAAAAATAAAGGTTCGGTGGTAAGCATCTCTTTAAGTTGGTGAAAGGCTTTTGATTGAGCAGTTTGCCACTTAAATTTTCGTCGGTTAGGCCTCGTAAGATTGGTAACAGTATGTATGGGTGCTGCTACTTCGGCAAATTTTGGTAGAAATTTTCTATACCATCCTAAAGACCCTAGAAAACGATTCGCTTGAGCTAAAGTACGCGGTTCTTGTATTTGCAAAATAGCTTCTATCTTATCTTTCACTGGTTTGATAGAATTTTTATTGATAGTATGACCTAAGTAATTAATTTGATGAACGACTAATTCACATTTAGGTGGATTTAATATTAGATTTTTCTGTTGCAAAGCTGAAAAGACGGATTGAAGATGATCCAAATGATCAGAAAAAGATTTGGAAAAGACAACAATATCATCTAAGTAAACGAGAGAAAACTGACGACACGATTTCAAAGTCTCTGTCATAACTTTTTGAAAAGTAGGAGGAGAATTTCGTAATCCCATCGGTAGAACGTTAAACTGATATAAGCCGAATGGGGTTATGAAAGCTGTTTTCTCTTTATCATTTTCATTAATCGGTATTTGATAAAAACCGGATTTCAGATCGAGTTTGGAGAAATAACTAAATCCTTTTCCTAATCTAAAGATTGTATCTTCCATATTGGGAAGAGGAGAAGAATCTTTGATAGTTATAGCATTTAATAGTCTATAATCTACTACAAATCGAAATGAATTATCTTTTTTCTTAACAAGTATCGCTGGTGCTGCATATGGCGAATTCGATTCTGAAATAAGACCAGCGTTCAAAAACTCTTGAATAAATTCGTACATCACTTCCTCGCGATCCGGTTGAGGATATGCTCTAGTAGCAGGAGGTGAATGAGAAATGGTATTAATAACATGCGGTATAGGAGTACGAGCTATAGTATGTCTGGTTGTATCAAAAATATTAGAGACGCGCTCTAGTAACGAAAGAAGATCTTGTTTGTGTTGATCATTCTGAATATTTTCAACAAGAGAGTGTAGATGTTGTGTTACTATAGGATTACGTAATTCCTTCGAGGGTAACACAGTTTCTGTTACAAAAGAACTGGTTCGATTAGTACACGTACTATTATTGTTGCTTAATTTCGATGAACGATTACTAGAATCACTATTTATTGTCAAGTCATTAGATACTGGAGTCATACCAGTACGTCTGGTAGCTCCAAAAAAATGATGGTGCGATGAATAAAAGGTACGAGGATGTTGAAACATAGAACAACACAACAAATACCCTAGACATGTACCTTTTCGTATGACTTTTGGAAATCTCTTGGTATTATATAATATAAGATCACTACGATAATTTTGAAAGTTAAGATGTTTGTTCTTATTGTCAACAAGTACGTAAGTTTTAAATGAAGAAGCTGGAATAAATGGTAAAGAAATAGATGAAATAGGAATGGCAACTGGAATTTTTCGTGTGGAATTAGAAGAAAGTAATACCGTGGTAGAAGAAATAACCGGTATTCTAATAGATTTTGTTACATTAACGATCGGAACTACAATATGATGATTATGTAACTGAATAGTAACCATCTGTTTCTGAACATTTATATTCATATTATATTTATTAATGTAATCCATGCCTATTATCATATCTGTACATAAATGTTGAGCTATGTAAGCTTTTATCGGAGTAAAAAAATTATTAAATTCAACCGATAAATCTACTGATCCAAGAACATTAAATGATGCAATACCGTCAGCTAACAAAAAAGAAGATGATTGCTTTAGTATAGAATTCATTGGTACTAAATGATGTAGAATTTGATTATTGATGAAGGTTTTGGTGGCTCCGGTGTCTATTAAGATTTTAATTTTATGTTTATTTACCAAAGCGTATATAAAAATTAAAGGAGGCTTTGATGGATTTAAAAGCATATTCCCGGAGTCAACACCATCGTACGATGACTCCTTTACTGAAAATTTGGGCATGACGAAGCGTCATGTCCCATAGAATTACAGAGATGACAAACTACTGTTGAAAGAGAGTCAAGATTATCATCATGATTAGGTGGTAAGGTTGATGTAAAAACTGCATTAACTGAGCGAGAAGTCGCTTTATTATCAGGTTGTGCAAAACTTTTATGTGGTTGTATATTTTTCTGCTTACGACTACCTGTATTATCATTGTACTTATTTGTTGATAAAGAATGACGTGGTGACTGATAATAATAATTCGAGTTAGAAGCCTGTGTTCGATTCTGTTTAGATACATAATTGGGATCAGATGTATAGTTAGATGATCCTTGATAAGCACGAAAACTAGTTCGTGGTATTGAACGATAATTACTGTTAGTACTGTTGGAAAACTGTACGGAAGTGGCACTCGAAGTATTGTCACTCGTAGAAAAAGTTTTTGGTTTAGAAGCAGAACTAATAGTTGTATTTGTACTGATGTTAGATAACTGTAATAGTTCTTCTATTTCTTTTGCATGCTCAAGAAATTCAGCAGGTGTTTTTGGCTTTTTTTTGCGTATCTCTAGTTGCATGCTAGGCTTTACTTTGTTTAATAAATTTTTCAATTTAGTCGACTCGCTCATGTTAGGATCAGCCTTCTTACATAAGTTTAGAACTTCATTAAAAAAATTACGGACAGATTGTTTCTCCCCTTGAGTATATGACTCAAGGGTTTTAAACGCTAGCTCTTCCGAAAAAGACGAAGTAAAAGCTTTTTTAATTTCTTGAACAAATTTATCCCAACTAGTTAATACTGATTGGTTATTACGAAACCATTGACAAGCATCTCCTCTTAGAGAATAAGAAATGAGATCGAGCCGATTCGTATCAGGAACATGTGCAATGTGCATCAAATGATCAATATCCTCTAACCATTTTGTCACGTCGTCCTTATTACCACGAAAAATCTTTGGATTTCGTATAAAATCTGCTACGATAGCTTTGCGTAAATCTGTTATCACTGGATCTGATGGTAAACGATTAATTGTTGAAGTATTTCCAGATAAGTTAGAGTCTGACACATCACCACTCGTTGTGGTGGTATCATCAATAGCAAGCTTACTATAAGAAGAAACGGATGGCTGTGACAACTGAGTAGCATCAGTTATATTCGCAACATTTAATTTAGAATCTGTTGTTATGTTACTGATGCACATAGACTCTTTCGCAAATTCAACTTTATGATTAGTTTGACTAGGTTTAGAAGTACTGACTGTTACTGGAGTTGAATCGAAATGTGTTAGTAGAAATTCATAAAAATCATCAAAATATTTTATGGCGTGACGATTTTTGATATATTTGCGTTTCGCATCGCCTTGTACTAAAAGAGGTATAGCTTGAAAACGAAGTTTACGTGAGATCTTGAAGCGATGAAATAAGGCGTCAGTCTCATCTAACCATTGATTGATGGGTTCTGCTCCCGAAAAAGGAACGAAGTTCTCACAAATAAATGTATCAAATAGATTATCATCTTCTTGTTCATCACTTGTATGATCTTTCTGATGAGATTGATTATGAATTAAATTCGGTATTACTGAAGTATCTTGTCGATTATCACACAAAACATGATCATCTTCGAAAGCAGTATTGCTTTCGGTAGCTATAACAGTATTCATTACTGAGCTGTCCTCATTACTACAGGATTGAGTTTTAGTAGATGGTAATAATTTATCTGGTCTGTTCGGTGTAGGAATAATATCCATGCGCCGTGTCATTTTTGAAAAAGAACTAGGTTTCGATGCTGGATTAAATGTTGATGTTAATATTAAATTTTCTGAATTTGTTGGTAAATTAAGTGAACCTAATGACTCAGACTTCTGCATCTTTAGAATGTTGGTTAGATATGTATTTCTGACAATATATAAATGAATACGAAAAAGAAAAGAATCAAATAGAAAAAATAATATAGATAGGGGTGAACAGAACAAGCAAATATATCTATATATGATGTAACGATATAGAAACGACAAGAGAAAAAAAAATCGGATGATGGTATAATTTCGAAAAAAAAAAAAAAAAGAATATAATAATGGTCGTTTTTTAATAATAAATTTTAACTTCTCCACCAATTGTTAGCTCTGTAATAGGGGATGATCTTACTGAGCTGAACTTCTCTGTATATATATAAAATATAGCTTACATATATAAATCGATATGAAGCTGTTGGATGATATATATATATATATATATATTTAATCAAACAAGAAAAATATAATAATATCAAAGATGATAACGATCAGCAGTAACAACAAAAAACGAACGAAAAAACATACATATATATGGGTAAAATCATTCGTTAGCGACGTGACATCGTAAACTTGGAGTATGCATATCTCGGCACTATCAACTAGTTTAGGTGTGATTTTTGAATGGTGTACGAGTCTCTATTTACTCTAGATACTA